GGGGGGGGATGGGTGGTGGTGGTAATGCATACCCACAACTATTGCCCCTCCTTCCTGGAAGCAGTGAGGTAAAGCTTGTCTGGTACTACCTTGTAGGCTCCCCAGTGACTTGTAGAAGGATTGTAACAGCAGAGACAGAATAACCCCAAGAACTCCTGATGCCCGAGGGCTGGTTTTCCTTGGAGATTATATAAAAAGACACAGAAATTCTTCTTAAAAACAGAAAGAACTCATTAAATGAGTTTAATAAGCTCAAAGTTTAAAGAAACTCAAGTTGTTTCCTGTTTCAGAAGAGGAGAAATGATCCTAGACAGACAGATAACAGGGCAATTTTCTAGCCTACAGGCTGGGACCCTGGCAAGGCAGAAGGATCCCTGAAACCCTACAGAGAAGAACAACAACAACTCCATGTGCTCACTCAGCTTCACAGCTTTCATGTTCTGCCCAGTTATCATGATCAAGGAAAAAAAGAGGCTATTCTATATATCTACAAACCAAAACCCCTGCTTTTTGACAGCAGGAGGAAGTTGCCAGCTCCAAGCATGTGTGTGTGAAAACACCCAATCTCCCCAAACAGATGGCTAGGAACTCTTCCTTCCCCTCTCCTAGAGGGAAGGCAAGGTTGGCACATTCTGACTGAAGAGGTGGTTGTCCGAATCATAGAAAAAAAGCCAATATAGGACTTGTCAGAAGAGACTAACTTTAGCAGAGGAGACACTCTGACACTAAGCTCAGTTCCCAGAGCTGCAGAATGGCACCTGTATGTTTTAATAGCACAATGCAAAGCAGAACAACCACAAGCTGCAGTGATCTTCTGCCACGTTTGTTAAATCCTCATTAAGGAAACAGTCAGTAATGAGCAAAAGACTGTACGCTTCACAGCATGCTTTGCAAGTGTAGATGCATTAGTCGCCTATCTCTCAATGCTCCCCAGCAAAGAGCAAACCGATCTCTACCACAATTCAAGTTTTCACCTCTAAAAATGCACTATGGCACTCCTAAAACTCAACTTCGTAGCTGGCTGAACAGCACTCAAGGCAAAGTTAAAACAAAAGAAAATAACTGTACCCTTAAAATTACAGTAGAAAAAAACTATTCCGCATCCAAAGTACTTTAGACCACAAGGCAAGCAGCTTCCTCAGAAAGCTCTCCCCCAGGGACTTTTAGTGTTCCCAAGGCAGGGAAGGATGCGGAAGACTACCCCAATTCTCACCTCTTGAATCCTCAAGCAGCCAAAACAGCTTTAACACAACAGCTTGAGCAATACTGAGAATCCAGCCACACTGCCAATTCCAAAAAAAGAGCTGAAACAGCGTCCAATGCTTCTAAATTTGCTTTCTTCTGTTTATTCTTTAGTTTGCACACCAGCACATTGACTTACCTGCTTTACACATGCCATAAATCAGCATAGCCTCAGGCGATGTAACATCTAATCCCTCCATTCTATCAACAATGACTGAGGGCTATTCAGAGATCTGTACAAGCTTGGAAAAAAATCCTTCTGTCCCAGACTGGATTTGTGGTAGCTCAGGATGACTCTACAACATCTGCCAGCATGACTTAAAGCAACCAGGATCCACAAGTGATCTGAGAAGGGTGACATTTTTACCTAAAGCCATGGTCAAGCCTCAGAAAAGCAAGCAAAAGACTCCACAAGACAAACAGCAAAGATTCCAATAGTTCGATATCCACAGCTGAGCACCCTCCAATTCACTTTGGATTGTATAAAAATGGAAAACTTCAATTTGTATCAACTGCCTTGGTACTTATTGCTTAAGCTAAATTAAAATCCTGGTTATGCTGCAAAGTTCTGGGGGGAAAAAGTATCTATTGAGCTGACTGCACATTCAACCACCATACTAACACATCCAAATATGAATTTGGTTACACTCCATTTATTCCTACCCTTGTGCATGTTCACTAGTCTCTCCTCCCATACCTAGAAGAGAAGCATTACTCACTTTCCATGTGAATAGGTCAGTTTGTTGTTTTCAGACGGTATTTTTGCCAGGATCTGCTCTGTCACCTCCAGGAAGTTCCCTCCACACCAGGCATGTTTGGCAAGGATGGTTGTGCCCCTCGCCACAACAGCAAACAGGATAGCCATGACTTCACACTACCTGGAAACAAAAACACCGCAAGAATTAGGCTTGCGTTCTTTGGGAGAGAAAGCATCATAATCTTAACAGTATTCTCTCAGCCCTCAACATAAAGGGAGGGAGGCATAAGCTTGTTCAATACTTTGACAAGATACCATTACCAGAAAGCTTCTCTCATTTCCCCTTTTAGGTTCTGTTCGGAATGACACAGGACTACAATAAGCTCTAGAGGAAGGTTTTTCTTATTGCAACTGCATGGTGTCCTACAGTCAGTGATCCCATAATGAATTTTGCCTACCTTGTTTCCACCTAGATTTCTACCTATTAGTACATTTTTTTGCTCTTCAACCGACCCTTAAGTTTTTTCTTCCTTGTTATTGAAAAAAACTGCCTGTGGCCTGCAAGCTGCAGTTCAGAAAGGAAGTAACTGTCTTGCAGCTATATTAACAGCAGCTCATTATACACACCAAGCCCACCATCCCTAACACATGACTGTTCAGGGGTGAGGCCTTGGCTTTGATTGCTATCAAACTGAAGTAGAAAAACTGCCACTTGCTTACAGACACACCATATACATCCTCTTTTAATGGTTTAGAGACACTCACTAAGTGTATGTTGTCCCAAGACTTCTGTAAAAGCACATAATCTGCACCTCTCAAAGCAAGACAGCACACTTGCAAACTGCTTAACCTCAGCAACACACCAAGCAACACATACAAGCCAATATTCTTGTATACGTATCAAACTGGACAGGTCACAGCAAGTGTGAGGGCCAGACTTCTGTAAAGTCTCAGAGTTGGAAAAACATGCCTGCTGTCATATAAAGGGACACATTTAATCAGCTTAAGTATCATCACATTAATCTACTGACAGACCCAAGATTTAACATGTGAAACCACATGTCAGATCACAGCTGTGACATCTGCTCAGCTGATCCAGTACATCCATAAGCCTCTTTTCTGCTTAGGAAAGACTTAGGAAGACTTTTGACCCTGCAAAACCCGAAAATCTTATTTTTTACTTTGCACCTGACTGCCTTCATATTGCCTGCCTTGTTTTGTGTCTAGAAATGTCTGCATTCTGGCTGGAAAGATCACACACCTATTTCAATGCAGCCAAGTAGCTTGGAGACCTCTCTAGAAATAGGTACAACAGCAGAGAAGCAGTGGTTTAGCGTCAGCATCCAAAGACCACAGGCAGAAAGACTGAACATAGGCTACACCCAGCCAGACTTTCCACCCCTCTGGCACTGACTGAAGTGACCTATCGATCTCTTCTGTATCAGGGGTCAGTCCTACCGAGCACTGTGCAGACAGTTCTGCCCTGAAGAGCTTATGCTTTCATGTGAACTGATGCACAAATTATCATGGCAACAGCGGAAGAGGTGGCAGAGGAATGCAGAGCTGTTAACAAGGCTGTGAAGTTGAGGTGCAATCACTACTCACTGTATCAGGGCTCACTTTGTCAGTCGGAGCTTGACAGATTCAGGCTTGGCCAGTAACAATCAGGTAATCTCTCAAACCTCCCACAGGTTTAAGAGCTCAACATTGGACAGGAAAAAGAACAAACTTGTGGATTTATTCAGAGAACAGAAGCCACAGCTAAGCTACAACCACCTGGGAGCACTGAGGTATTCAGAGCCAGCACTGCCGAAGGACACAGAAGGCAAAGGATGAGTTTGACAAGGGGCCACGGCAAGCAAAGCGGGAAGCAGAACAGTGAGAGGTCTCAAAAAACGCTGCTTTGGAGCAGAGCACCCAGCTGAGCGCACTCTAAAAAACCTGAGAGAGTTCATAGTGCCAGTAAAGGGGAAGGGAGAACACACCAGACAAAGCCTCACACCATGCAGATGCAAGTTCCCAGATAAGCTGTTCTCCTTCACTCTTCCTGACCAGTAACACAAAAGAGCATCAATAACTGAAGGGGGGAGGAAGCACCAGGGCACTCAACAGCAGCTCTCCCAAACAGATTTGCTGCTTTCATTTCCTCCTGGCCTAAAGCTGGCACTCCTCCGACCCATTTCTACCAAGGACAGGAGTGAAGCCCTTTGTGCTGCTTTGCATGGCTTGCTTCTTGTTTACCCTGTCTGAGAGCAAGACCTGTTTTTAGAACAAAGGCAACTTGTTGCATTTACCTGCTGCTCTTTTTGGTATGACAGCTTCCCTTGTTCTCACTTACTGCATCCAAGTACTCATGCACCACTCCCACCAAGGTGCCAACCTCATCTGGACATGGCTCAGGGATTTAAACAAGTTTTATATCCAGCTGACATGCTTGCACAAAGCCTGTTAGGAAGAAGGGAGGTGAAGAGTGCCCAGACCAGCAGCCCCCCTTTCACTACTGGTGAAGGAATTGGGGTCTGCAAACAGCTGTTCCCCTGCCTTGTCCTCCTCCCTTCCAGACAGAAGCAAGCAAGCTCCAGCTCATTTAAAAATGTCAGTATAAAGAGGTGACAAACAGCTAGGTTTGTTTCCTCCCACAGTCAAAGGTATGCTGGCTTGCAGGTTCACAATTGCCCTCTAACATAATCTGTCAGCATCACAGAAAAAAAACAAGTTCTTTTACATCTAGGAGGAGATTATCTTTAAACATAAGGACAAGTGGTGCTTATTACACTCAACTGAGTAGTGTCTATGTCCACCTGAATAAGATTATGGAAGTTCCAGAATACAGGAAAGCAAGGGTAAAAGTTTTTCCCCTTACTTTCTAAGGAAACTCCTCAGCACAGAGATACCCAAGAAGAAAGAATACAAAGCTGAGAAGAAAGTCATAATTACTCACTATCTGTAACACAAAAATGAAAGAATGTTCAAGAACAGGTTCCAGCAGAAGTAGCTCCTCACACAGTGCAGCTCATTCCCACATGTTATCATGGAGGAAAAGAGTTCACAAGTTCAGAAAGTAACTGACATGTTTATGGAGGAAAAGAATCACTATTAAACAAATATCACCCAAGCAGCCACTCCCTGGAGCCTAAGAGTTTATCATGAGTTTCTTCTATTCTTCCACTCTTTCCCAGGCATCCCACCAGTCACCACAGTCAGACCCACCTTCAGTCTGACTCAGTACAGCCATCTGCAACACTGAGAATCACTTACTCCACAGATGTTAAGGATTTTTTTTCCAGGGAGAAATACTATGAAGAGCAAGTCGTATCTTCAAGCAGCAAAGCAGGTGGCCCGCCAAGTCAGATCCATGGTCCAGCCCCGATTGAGGTTATGACTCTCACAGTACTTGAGCTTTAGGGCTGCTCTTGTTCACCACACTGCTCTTCTCATACAGGAATAATTAAGAGTTATACAAGGGCCTATGAAGTCCCAGCAGCCCCAGTTTAAGAGCAAATGCCTTAAAGGAATTTAAAAACACGCTTCCAAGGCATCGTATCATCTCTTGCAACACTTGAACTACCAAGAACATCATATGACAAGCAGAGCACCAAGTCATTTGCAAAGCCTCTTAGAAGCCTGACCACAACCTTTTCCTTCCAGCTTCACCAAACCAGCCTGCCAGATCACATCTTGCTGAGAGTGTTTTAGAGCTGCCCCACTACAGAAAATCCAAACTTCCTTCCAGAAAGCTTTATCTAGAAGAGCCCACAGACTGGTCAGCCTGCATACACACAAACTGTTTGGGCATGCTCCCAGCACTGAGCTCTCTGACATCCTGCCACAGAAGACTTACATGGCCAACCTAGCAGAGCTTGCTTTTTTTTTTTAAGCCAGCCTTAAATTGCTGCATCAACCACATGTTGATTGCATTAGAGCAGAAAAAGTAGTCACAGATTCCAGTAATAGTTTGCTGCCTCTGGCCTTAAAAAACTACTCTTGGCTCTTCAAAGCACAGTGCTACAGACATGCAAGTCTGAGGGTCACAAAGTGCAACTCTAGTGCTCTAAGTCAAGGCTCACCTACCTCTAGTTAAAGATAAGCCAAGTAAGTTACTAATCACAAGTCCCCCCTCCACAGACTTGAAAACACCAAAAGCTTTAGCCTGATGCTCACAACAGCATTTAAGATTGGAGCATTTGGACATGGCATGGAGCAGTAAAACATAAAGGAATGAGCAACTCTTTGGAACCTTCCTGCAGGAGCTACTACCTCCACCTGAAGAAGCTGAAGCAGAAGAGAAGCCAAGGAAAAACACAGACCCCACATGTTTATACACAAACATGAAACAAAACTAAACCTTGGATAACTCAAGTTAAATGCTTATCACACCAGAGACAAGGGCAGCCATGCAGCTGATTCTGATCTTGTAAAAAGAAATGATTAACTGCAATGCAAGTGTTCCTAGTTGTTCCTGATTAAAGAGACAGCAGCTCACTCCTAACAAGGCTAGAGAAAGCACACATTTTCCCAGCAAAAAAGGTAATACCTGTGGCCAAAAAAAAAGGTAAAAAAAAAATTCAACTGTCCAGTGCTTCACAAGTGATTCTCTACAAACTTAGACTCATGCCCTGTCCTACACCTTAGCTTTTACTAATATAGCCAGAAGACACAAACTACACAAACTGCACTTTATTCTGTTTTCTGCTCACTCAACAAACACCTGATCTCTTCAGGTGCTACCAACCCTAGTTTTCCTAAAAACGAGGAACTGCTGAGCACCATGAGTCAAACAATTTGTGAACAGTTACAGCAGCACACTGATCTGCAACAAAACTAACTAAACAAAGCAGAATTTATTATACAATCACATCCCTTCAGATCCACCAAGATACAGTCATCTGCAGTGTTTTGGCCAGTCCAGCAACTGAACCAGAACTGTGTCAGTGCATGGTACACCACCAGGTCACAGCCAGGAATAAACACACACAACTAAGTCTCTTGAGCAATCAGGTGACTGTCAAGTATCACAACCAATCTCTTCACATTGCAGTCACTCAACGAACAGGACCAATATAAAGGAGCAGCTGTAAAAGAAAAAACATTCACAAACCCTCCCCCTGCCACACACACCACCAAAGATCAGCAGCCTGCAAGGCAGTGAGCAACTAACCTCAGAACTACAAAGCCCACACAAGCAAAGAGACACCTTAATTCCCAGAGCAGAACTCCAGGTTCAAACTGAAGATTATAAAGTGGATTAGATGACTTCTAGAAGTCTCCATTCTTTTAATACTGGATATTTGCAGAACTCACATTAGTGAGGTGAGAGTTCAACAGTAAGGTGACACTCGCTGACACTGTAGGATCCCACAGTCCTGCAGCAGCAAGGAAATCAACTCCCTGAATTCACAGTCCTCAGCCTTACTTAGGAGACAATAGCCATGTACTTTACAATGACACTTGCCCCCAGCTTTGAGCAGAATGGATTAAATGAAGTAAACCAGATTAACAATAAGCAGTGTCTCATGCAGCCCTGTAAAACTCATGTATTACTTTTGTTAGTAATACAAATTTGTTAAACTGCTAGAGAACATAGCTCCTCAGAAGTTACAAGTCAGGAATTAAATCCATTACAATCAACCCCTTTGTATAACCTAGAGATCACAACTGTTTTCTATCTAAACTTACAATATTGCATGGCTGGAAGTAGCCAAGACCAAACCTTCCTAAAAGAAAAACTCACTTAGCGATATCAGGCAGGCCTTGCATGGAAAAGCTCCAAATCAGGAGGGAGGGGGGAAACAGGCTGCATTCCTCAGCCACCCAGAAAACACCACAGATCCAAAGAGCTCCTTAAGCAGTGCCAGAAGCATTTGGCAGCTAACGGAAATGAAGCACAAAGGCGAGTATTGCACTTGTATCACAACGACTATTTACTCATTGCAAGTCACGCTGCAAGATGCAGTGTGCTGCTGCCTACAAGGTCTCTCACAGTATTTGACAGAAGGGCACAGAAAAACATGCAGCATCTTAAAGAATGTCAGAAACACAAGTTCAGTCTTCAACATCATGTTTAAATCTCCAGTAGGGAGGATTTATTACTTTCAAGCGAGACAACAAAACAACTTTTTTGTTGCTCTGACTTCACTGAAGATCTAGAATAAACTGTTGGATGGCAGTTAAGACAGCTGGGGCAAGAAGTGAACCCAGAAAACTACACCCATCCTCCATCAGCAGTACTGCCCTTGCCAGCCAAGAGGGACTCATCTGTTCTTCTCGACCAGAAGATTCACTGCCTTAGTGCCAACAAGTGATAGAAAAGGTTACTGCTTATATTACCAGAAATCCTCTTTACAGAAAGCAAGGGCCTTCACATTACTACTGGCTTTAAACATGAAACAAGCGTAGGTGTTGCAACCCTGCAAGTTGCAAACTGCCTGACTGCAATAAGAAGATCGTTTAAGTATGGTGACTTCAGCAGAAAGCAGCCTACACTTCCCTTTAACCTTTCCTTGGTATCTGCAAGTTGTTATTTCTTTAAAGGATATTCCAATGTTAAGCCCTGTAGTTTATTTGTTCATTTTAAGCCCAAGAAATGCAACATTCTTGCACCAACTTAACAGAAGTTTAGCTTCCTCTCTGCCTGCACAGCTTACTTCAGGCACCTCCACTTCACCCTTACGGAAACAAATTGCTAGATAGGAATAATCCAGTTTCTCTTCCAGGCCCATCACCTTTTCCGGAAGGCAGTGTGACATGTTTTAGAAGAAGGGCGAATAAACAGAACACGACAGCCATTGAATAAGCAGCTCTCTAGAGAAGTAACTCATACACCCTGAAGCACGCTTACTTACAGCACCCCCCCGGTACCCCCACTGCAAGGGTAACTGTAATTACTGATCACTGTCCTGCCTTTCAAACCCACCCAAGCCATCGCTCCCAGTTCCACCAGCAGCTCTGGCCTTTCCCCCCCGCTCCACGTCCTCCAGCAACCGGCTCCCCAAGTTCCCAAAGCCCAACATCCCCCTTTATCCGCCCCCCGCCCCCGATACCGAACGAGGCCTCTGCCCGCCGGCAGCACCGTCCCGTCCCCAGAAGCGGCCCACGGCCGGGGACGCCCGGCCAGCCTCCTCCACCGGCAGGGAGACGCCGCCAGTACCCAGCTTCCCCCCCCCCGCCTCACCGCAACGGCTCCCGGCCTTGCAGGCCCAGTCAGTCAGTCAGTCAGTCCCGGCCCCGCTGCGGCCTGCCGCCCCCGGGGAAGGGGAGGGATACCGGAGAGAGAGAGAGAAAGCGAGCCGCTCTGCTATGAGTACAAGCAGGCGGCTCTCCCGAGGGGCCCGGCCTCCCCGCAGAGCCCGGCCCCGCCGCCGCGGCAGGGGGGGGCGC